CACATGTCAAATCATTTATTTTATTTGTCAGTTTAGACTGCAAAGTCTCTTTTTGATAGCTAGAGTGGAATTGTTTTTTGTAATTGTAGACGTGTTGGTCGTTATTTTAATATTATTATTGTGTTGCTAAGTGAAAATGAAGAATTATCCAAGAGAAGAGCGTATTGACATGATTTTCACCATTGGAGAATGTCATAAAAATTGTTTATTGGCTTCTCGAGTTTATGCTCAAAAGTTTCCTGAAATAATTTATCCTAAGCCAACAGGTTTTAAGCGCTTATTACACCAATTTGAGGAAAGTGGGAGTGTCAATTATAAAAAACCCATTACAAGGAAATCTGTCACTGAAGATGAAGAAAATGTTTTTACGGTACTTAATTTGTTCAGTTATCGAAAATCCCAATGTTAGTCAAAATCTAATATCCAAAAGTAGAATTATCAAAAAGCACCACTTTTATCCTTATAAAATTCAGTTTTGCCAAGAACTTTATGGAAATGATTTTGAAAACGGAACTGAGTTTTGCATGTGGGTGTTACATAAGGTGGCAGAAAATGAAAAGTTTTTCGAAAATGAGTTATTTGAGTGATGAATGTACTTTTCATAACAATGGCCTCGTGAATAGACAAAACTTTCATTATTATTCTGATACGGATCCGCGCGCGCGACCCTGTATGGTCATGAAAAATCAAAATAGGTGGTCAGTTAATGTGTGGGGTGGAATACTGGGCCAATATTTAATTGGACCGTATTTTGTTGAAGGACATCTAAATGATTTGATGTTCCTCCAGTTTCTAATAAACCATTTCTGAATATTATTAGAAGAAGTCCCTTTGAATATTAGAACCAACATGTGGCTTCAATTGGATCGAGCTCTGCCTCATTATCACTGCGAAGTTCGGCAATTTTTAAATACCAACTTTCAAAACAGGTGGATTGGCAGAAATGGGTTTCAAAATTGGCCCCCCAGATCTCCGAACTTAACTCCACTAGATTTCTCTTTGTGGGGGTACATAAAAGGAATTGTCTGCCATACGCTTCCGACAACTTCAGACGATATGAAAACACGCATAAGAGACGCTTTTAAAACTGTAACTCCGCAAATGTTGTCCAGAGTTAGCAGTGGTTTTGAAACAAGAATTTACAGAAAAGTGCCTGGAAATGGACGGTCAACATTTCGAACATTTGTTATAAATAATTTGCCTTTGTTTCGTGTTATTGTTGATATGTTATTTAACTTTTTAATTTAAAAAAACACCAAATGGTGCACAGAACCATTATTTGGTGTATTTTGTAAAGAGGCAAAAACTTAGTTATCAACATCCTAGTACCATTCGATAGGTAATTAAAAATTGCATTTCCTGGTAAGCTAAAAAATATGGGGTTGTATTTAAATTAA